TTCCTTTGTTTATATTTATTTTGCTTAGGCTGAACGTGGTGGCTCACAGCCTGTAATCCCAGCACTTTGTGAGGCCAAGGCGGGTAAATCACCTGAGGTCAGGAGTTCGAGATCAGTCTGGGCAACATGGCAAAACCCCGTCTCTACTAAGAATACAAAACTTAGTGGGGCGTGGTGGTGCACACCTGTAATCCCAGCTACTGGGGAGGCCGAGGCAGAAGTGCTTGAACCAAGGAGGTAGAGGTTGCAGTGAGCTGAGATCACACCACTGAATTCCAGCCTGGATGACAGAGGAAGACTCCATCTAAAAAAAAAAAAAAAAAAAAAAGAAAACTGTGTTTACTTGAGCACTGCAGAGTAATTTTAGTCTGGCTCTGGTTAAGTGGGACCTGAACTAGATTTAATACTCTTTCCCTTTTCTCATTGGTCAGAAGATGATGATGGATGAAATATGCTTCCTTTCCTCCTTTGTTCTTGTTTAGGTTTGAGGCATGACCAGTCACTATCAGTGGAAGTTTTTTTTAAGTTAATTTTTTTTTTTTTTTTTTTGAGACGGAGTTTCACTCATGTTACCCAGGCTGGAGTGCAATGGCGCGATCTCGGCTCACTGCAACCTCCGCCTCCTGGGTTCAGGCAATTCTCCTGCCTCAGCCTCCTGAGTAGCTGGGATTACAGGCACGCACCACCATGCCCAGCTAATTTTTTGTATTTTTAGTAGAAACGGGGTTTCACCATGTTGACCAGGATGGTCTCGATCTCTTGACCTTGTGATACACCCGCCTCGGCCTCCTAAAGTGCTGGGATTACAGGCTTGAGCCACCGCACCCGGCTAAGTTAATTTTTAACTTAAAAAAATAATAATTTATTATATATATATTTTTGGTAGAAATGGGGTTTTACCATGTTGCCAAGGCTAATCTCAAACTTCTGAGCTCAAGTGATCTGCCCACCTCAGCCTCCCAAAGTGCTGGGATTACAGCGTGAGCCACTGTGCTGGCCCTAACTTTTTTTTTTTTTTTTTTTTTTTTGAGACCGAGTCTCACTCTGTGGCCCAGGCTGGAGTGCAGTGGCGCGATCTCGGCTCATAGCAACTGCCGCCTCCCGGGCTCAAGTGATTCTCCTGCCTCTCAGCCTCCTGAGTAGCCGGGACTATAGGCGTGCGCCACCGCGCCCGGCTAATTTTTGTTTTGTTTTGTTTTATTGAGACGGAATCTCGCTCTGTCGCTGAGGCTAGAGTGTAGTGGCACGATCTCGGCTCACTGCAACTTCTGCCTCCCAGGTTCAAATGATTCTTCTGCCTCAGCTTCCTGAGTAGCTGGAATTACAGGCTGGGATTACAGAGGCATGCCACCACGCCCAGCTAAATTTTGTATTCTTAGACGGGGTTTCACCATATTAGCCAGGCTGGTCTGGAACTCCTGACTTTGTGATCTGCCTGCCTCTGGCCTCCCAAAGTGCTGGGATTCCAGGTGTGAGCCACCACGCCTGTCCACTCTTAACTCTTTATGTCTCAAATGTTCCTCTTTTCCAGTACACACAATCCAATTGTCAATACATTTTAGTAGGTTTTTTTCTCTGAAATAATTTTGTTTGTTCCCCCTCACCTTTAAGAATGTGTACCTATTTGAAAATGGCAGAAAAGCATGAAGAAAATGTCATCTATTATTTTATCTGAAGCATTTACCAATCAGACCTCTGCCTTTTTTTCTTCTAAGCCCACCTCTATGATAGGAATCAGATGCCATTTCCCTCTTCCACAGCCTGTTGAAGCTGCTTTCCCACTATTTTCTCTCCCTAGGCCAAGTGGCTCCCTTTCTCTCTCTCTCTCTCTCTTTTTTTTTTTTTTGTATTCAGAACTACGTCTATTACAGGTGAGCTTTCTAAAACACAGATTTGTTCATCCATCTCTGCTCTGAAGCCTTGAGTTCTCTGCTGCCTAAAGAAGAAAGCCCGAACCCCTGAGCACGATACTCAACACCTTCTGATATTTTTGTCCCAAATCTGCCTATTCTTTGCTTTTCTTCCACCACGTGCCCTCCATACTGTAGTCACACCGATTTGGTGCATCCTCCCACCACCTCACTCTCTTTCCGCGGTATGGATTGCCTTTTGTTGTCCTTGTCAAACTTCTTTTCATGATTGAAGACTCAGCTTAAATGCTGTGGCTCCTGTGAAGCCTGTGCTAGTTTTTCCCAGTTCAAATGGCTTGTTCCCAACCACTGAGCCCATGTTACACTTTGCCAGACCTTGTTTTGCTTTATGTTGTTTCCATTTGCATACTTGTTTCAATATAATATTGATATCAACTATAATACTGATATTTTTGCAGAAGAGGGCCATAGTTTGATTTTTTTGGTGTGTCTGAACCCGTTGCTTTTTTTTTTTTTTTTTTTTTTTTTTTTTTTTTTT